CTATGGTCGCTCCTCTGTTCGCGTGCCCGCCGACTATAGATCGTTCATTAGCGGCTGTCTCGAGAAAACTTGCGTTATCGCAAGCTGAAGGCTTGGACATGTTAGGTCATCAAAATGGCATCACAGGAGGCGGTGCAGAATCACCAAATGGTACAGGCATTTATAGGCGCAAAGGTCATATTAACGAGCGTGCATTTAGCTATTCAATCCGCCAAGAACACCGGAGCAGAAGTCATGGTAGCTTAGCATCATTGCAGTTCACGCCTCAACAACATGTATCTCAATAATAGACATATCAGCGCTTCATTAAATTGAATACTTATACATTACCGATAGAAAACAGATTTTTTGATATCGAACACGCAAAGAATTCAAGAGTAATAAATACCTTTTTCGCTATGTTGATCATGTTGCGACAGTAAGCTCGGCTCATCGGCGGAAATCTAGTGCCGAAGCGATCGTCGTTTTGGCCGACGAGCGGATTGTTTCCAGCAAATCCCATGAGATTGATATGGTCTCTTACTATCATTATATCACCGACTTCATAATTTGGGTTCAATCCGCCAGCGGCATTTGTAGCAATCAAATGCGTTATGCCCAGTAATTTCATAACTCGCACCGGAAAGCAACACTGCAGTAAAAGTGAGAGATAATTTAGCATTAAATATTCCTTTGTATCATAAAAGTTTATGTATCATATTTACGTCGTATATATTAACGCTATTATTATTTATAGATAAACAGGTTATATAAAATACTATCCTCGAGCGTATTTATAATATATATTTTGTTTATATATTTTTGTAATGCGCCTTTTTTAAACTTTTTTAATGTAATTTAAAATAAATTCTCATGTTTATAATTTTAAAAGAACTGAGTATATTTATATCTGTAGTCAAAACTCGTATAAATATAATGTACATAAACAATATCTATACAGAAAATATATAAGATATATAACTTACAATGCGTTTTATTTATTGAAATTTATTTTTCTTGTTTCTTCAAATAGTAGTAGAAATCGTATCAATGCGTGTTTTTTTTTAATCATGCAATCGTTTCATAACATACCACATAAAATGCATGTAGTGAAATCTATAATGCACTACATTTTATTTATTTTTGTAAAAATATTTCAAATAATATTTATTAATATAGAGATACCAATTTTGATGCATCTTGCATATTTTTTAATTAATTTGCATTTGTAATTAATGATATTACCTTATTCAACGAATAGCCTTCATAATAATGAAAACGTCCTTGCATGCAAAGGACCTCGATTCCACCCAAGGTGCCAAATACAAGTCGACCTTTATGACCCGGAACTGTGCTTACGGGAAAGTTGGGAATTTGACTGTAATCGAAGGAATCTGCATTTTGTAAATTGTCAGCCAGGGGTCCTAGTATGAAAAACTTATATTAATTATTTTAATTTTGTAGATTATTGGTTAATTTATCAGCTAAACAATACCGAGATCCTAAAAAGTAAATAAATATGTAACTATTTAATTAATATATAATATTTGAATTTGTTTCAAAGTTTTGTATTAAATTATTCTGCGATAATTCACTCATACATACATCATGAATTTTGAATCCTGATATAATTTTTTAAGTTAGTTGGATATTATAAATATTTTGAATAGTTATTTGGAATAAATTAAAATATGAAGTTGCTAATTTACCTATTCCGGATCCACAGATAATACCAATTTTTGGTCGATATTTGGTTTTCTGAATTAGAAATTCTGTCGTCTCTTTAATCCTTTCATAGGAACATCTGGAACAAAATTTATTCTGTTATTAAAAGCAAAACAATATGTTGAATAAGATTTATTATTTTAATATGATATAAAGGTTATCCAAGTAGACTGAAAATTATACAAAATTTATTTCTCGTAAAATTTCAGTGTCAATTTCGGTTGTAATATTTTCAGCAATATATATCAAATGCGTTTTACTCATGTGTAAAAGATGCAAATGTTGGAAAAGGCTGTCCACGTTCAATAGAATTCTTGTTGTTTGTGTAATATTGGCATATATTGCCATAAAAACTATATTTGTGGTACGTATAATACATTATTATTTCATGCACATAATTCATATTAACAGTTCTAAATTTTAGCAATAGTGTTGCCTATAATATTAGGCATTGAAGGAGAGCATTTGGAAAACGTTTTGAAAGATGTACCAGATATTCCGATTGAACTTCGTCCAACTAAGTGGACAAAACGAGGAGAACCAAAAATGGAAAATAAGTACATTGTAGCAATTACGATCAAGTCAGAGATTTTATTGTGCTCTGGTGTATTGATATCGGATGATTTGGTTTTGACTGCTGAGGATTGCCTACCAACTGTAAGTTATTCAAAACTATAATTATCAACATATATAATTTATTAGATAATCGATTGAAATCTTAATCAAGTAATCTACCTTTAAAATCAATTAAACATTAATAAACTATACTAATAAAGAAGTCATATAAAATATAGTGATATGCAGATTTTATTGAATTTGATTTGAATTCGATCTAACCTGATTCAGAACTAACGGACTTTTAACTGCTAAAAAATGTTAATCTGCTAAAACATATATTTCATGATTTGCAAAACATATAGAAATGCAAAATATAATATTATTATTTTATAATCACAGCAGCTGTATTTTTTAATCACTTCAGTAACGCTTTTTTATTACCAGAAAAGTGCAATTGTATTGACAGGCTTGCTCCTATTTGATATGTCCGGAAAATATCAAGAAAGAAAAGTGCTTTATACTGTCAAATCTTCAGAAAATGAAGAATATCCAACAATTGGTTTATTGAAATCTCATGCACCTTTCTATTATAAAGGTTCTACACTAAGTCCGATAAAAATAGGTAAAGTAACAAGTAAACAATATATCATAAAAAAACTAAGTATTGCATTTATTTTTATTTTTTCAATTTTTTGTTGCAATTTTTACTAGCATAATATATTTTTTATATCTCAGTCAAATAAGAATATATTTGGTATAAGCCATAAGCCAAATAAGAATATTTGGTATCATTCATCAGATCATAGAAAATATAGTACAATACAATAATCTGTGGTACAATATAATTAATTATTTTTACCTAAAATTAATTCATTTTATAGATCTAATTGCATAATCTAAAACTTTATTTTGTGCAAATTAAAATATATTGTCTGATAATGTCTCTATTAATTTAGGAGGGTTTGATCAAGAAGGACTTTGCTCAATACAAGGTTGGGGATCTCAAGGTTGGAGTCGAAGTAATGTACTGAAAACTATCATGACTAGATCTATAGTAGATATAATATCGTCCTCAGATTGTGATTTTGAAAATAATAGGTAAAAAAAACTAATAAATACAATAATTACAAAATACAATATGTTGACTTCACAGATATAATAATGATATATTGAAACAAAATTGAAAGTAAGAGAACAAATGATTACAACTTCTTATGTATGTTGACTTAATCTATAACATATTTCTCCACTTTGAAGTAATTGCTATCAAACTTGCGTGAGTTTGGATCAGATAATTATTAGTCTGATATATTAAAAAAAAATTAATTTTAATCTAAAAAAGAGACGGATGTTGCTGACGTACAAATTAAGAAAAAATATTTATTAGAAGTTAAAAAAATTGTTTTGATGAATAATATAATATACTGTTTATATTTTAGTGAAAACTACAAAAAAAAAATGCTGTGTGTAAAGGTTCGAAGGAAAAACACTTGTGTCGACTCTCCAGGAACACCATTAATCAGAAATGACTTCCTGATAGGTCGGGCATATGTACGTACTATAATTTTAAATGCAGCTATAAAAATTATAGAACATCATAAATTGATTGAATTTTCATCACAACAATTTTCTAAAATATTTTTTTGCTGTCTTTATTTTCCATGCCCGTTAGCCTATAGAGTCTACTTGGAATCTAATTTGATTCTCCGTTCTAATTATTATTTAATGTGGCTAATTTATATAAACTAAGATAGTCACAAATATTAGTCATGATGACCCCCAAGTCATACAATTTTATTACAGCAGTACTTATTTATCAGTTGATTAAACATTAACAAACACATTTTATCTTTAAACAAATATTAAGCCGAATGATTAAACACGGAAAAAATAATGAAAACAACTATATTAGTATTGTTATTGATTCACATTTACTTGTGAGAAATTTCGTTTATATTATGATTAAATAATTATCAATAGAGGTTAAATTTTACACCGCCTCAAGATTAGTGAAATTAATAAAATATAAGATAAATACATGCTCTTTTTACAAGTCTCAGTATTTAATTTGAATCATTTTATCAAATCATTTATTGCAATATAATATATGCAAGGAAAACACCCTGAACCCTTTGATATCAATTAAATGTTAATCAAATGATAGTAATGTTATAAAATTTGTTATTATAGGCCACGTAGGAATCATCGCATTTTTGTTTGACTTCATGTATCAGTATTTGCTGATATAATTACAAAAATGTTTGTTTTGTGAAATTAACACTTATTAAGATAAGAATTACAACTTCTTATGTATGTTGACTTAATCTATAACATATTCTCCAGGAATTGCTATCAAACCGACGACTTGTGAGGCTAATGAGACCCTCCCTGGGGAATACATTGACCTCAGGGATCATAGGAAATGGTTGGATTTGCACATCCGAGGCGAAAATGTTGCTGGTGATGTATTTGTGTATAATGATTCGATTGGTTGAATATTATCGCAATAAAATTCTATTGAAATTGTTGCTTTTAATGAGAGTTAGTTAATTCGAAATAACATCCTGTTTTTGTCTTGTATTTTAATAAGGGCAAGATATATTCAATGCGGCGAGCTTAAATCATTAGTGGAGGTTATCGTTAATTTTTCAATCCAGCAATAACAGATACTGTAATTAATTATTGCAGTAATTAGAAATAATTCTAATTGTTATTGCTTTTTTATATTTGTTTACTTGGAATCTGCTGCTTTGTAAAATATTATTATGAGCCAGTTGTTGCTCCTATTAAATATTTGTGCGTATTAGTAGGCTTAAAATAAAGCTCCAATAACTTCTTTAAAAGTTGAAAAAATGTATGACCAATTTTTCTATAAGAATGAAGAAATAACTATCCGAACTATATAATCAGAAAAATTCTTATGCGAACGATTAGAGAATACACACAATTCCATTTATATAATATCATTATTTCAAGGTTTAAAAAGAATTAAGTTAATATGTCATATAATAACATCCTGTTTTTGCATTGGATAGAATATAATATAAGGGTTAAGAAGGTTTATCACAACTTTAACTGTTGTTATTATTAAGATGAGGAAAATAAGCTGAATATAGATATTATTTCAAAACAAAATCTGTGATGCACTTTCTGACATAGATCTGTTATCAGCCTTAAGAAAAGCGAGTAAAAAATACATGCACGTATTTGCTTGTTGATATTGACAAATATCTGATGACGGAGATGATTTGCTAACATCTTCTGGATAAAAATCAATAGTAATTTTATATCGTACTTTGGACTTATGGTATGTGCATTCATCAGATTTATTTTATAATTTTTGTTAATCAAGACTTTAGCAGTCTATTGAGGTAAAATTGCAGAGAATAATGCATAAAGAAAAACAAAATGCAAAAAATATGGCACTGGTTATAATTCAGGAATTAAGAAAAATATCTTAAAAAAAATTACCTTGTGAGGAAACCTATTCATAACATGATAAGTTTTACAGCTAAAATTCAAAAGTAAAAGTAGGTATTTTGTATTTGTTATTAGATTTTGTTAAGGATAAAAATGCATAGCAGAATTAAATTCAGGAAATTTAGATCTCTGAATAATTCACTAAATTTTTCTGAAACTGAGTTCTAAACCATCATTCAATATCTTGCAGTTTTTTATTTAAGTGAGCAGTTACTGGTCTATTATAAGTCATATTTAATTTGATTGCTTTATAATTTTTTTTCACCAGATTCATTATAATTTTCAAATTCATCATGTTATTTCAACAGAATATTTAATTATTTTTTTAATATATTTTTATAATAGTTGCACTGATGGCAATGTGTGTCTAAAGAAATAGTTTATCGATGAATATTATCAATCTGACTTGGTTTTTCATAATTAAAAATTATGAATAAATTTCATTTAATCAGATAAATATAGATTTATTTTTTTGCTATTGATATATTGTAAGTTTTTGCTATTTGTGGACTGTTTTAATTATGAATTAATTAATTCTAATCATGTGTTAATTAGCATTACGACAAAAAGTTCATAACAACAATCCAGAATAACAATTTTAATAGCTTTTAATTGCATCATTGATGCTTTATAGCATTTATCGACATAGATTCATAATAATGACAAGTAAAATAATATAAAGTTGAACCCCGTTAAATCGATCATGTGTAACACAATTTCTCGAATAATACGTCACTTTATGCTGGATCCTGCGCTTTTAAACATATTGTCCCTATCCCGCTTAATAAACTTTGTTGCAAAGACACATTTTTGTGGTCACTGGGAAAATATATATAATAAAAATTAATTTATAATTTAATACTTTTAGTATGAGCAAATTGTAAGATAAATTTTAAATTTTGATCAATATGTTTCTATACATAATCACCAGTTAAAAATTTAGTTCTAAATTTGGAAAATAGTCAAATCATTTAAACAATCATTAATATTTATTCATTTTGAATATCCATCTTATTTAATAGCAATAGCTTATTAAGTACATTCGTTATAACATTTATTAATGCTTTGCAATGTGATAACTAAATTAGTAGTAAAATAAATATAAATGATGGTCAACCAGAAATATTTGCCTAGTAACTAGATAAATGGCGTATGTTTATCGTTGATAATTTATAATATAAATGATTAATAATTAATTATTTTTACACAATTATTTTAAAATGAATGAACCTCAAAAACGCTACTTAAACGAACACCTAGAAAGACTTTTACAGAACCGTTCCTAATTTTAATTGATTTCTTCAAGCCTTATAATGTTTTTTCTTACAATCAAGCAAATTGACCTGCGTGTTTAAAATAAAAATATTAAATTTCAAAATGTGATTAATGTTTGAAATGAATTAAAATATTTGTTATTGCAATAAAATAACAAATTAGCGATAACCTTCTCGACGGCTTTGAGCGTTCTGCGGAATGTAGAGTATGTATGTTTCACATTTTTTGCAGGATATATATATATATATATATATATATATATATATATATGCATATACTTATATATATATATATCAAATAAAGAATTTAGCAAAATTTGTTTGCTAATTACCAAGCAAAATCTAAACTTAAATTATCGTAATATTAATTGACCTAAATAAAAATAAATGGTATTTTTCATAATAATATACATTATATAAAATCATTTAAAATTCATTATACTGTTTGTTTATTAACATTCGTTATCATAATAATTTTCAACGACACTTTATACTTTATTATCTAGTACATATTGTTTTCAAGTAAGTTAACATTAAACAGGAAAAATATAACAAAATTAGAATAAAGCAATTGAATTTTAATACTGTATACAATTAGTTGTGTGTGATTAGCATATGCGACTAGAATCATTTTTTTTTCGCGTGCTTAGCAATTAGCTAAAAACAATTTTTTGCTTAAGGTAATAGTGAGAATAATAAACTATTCTTCATCGAGTAGTATATTTTGATATTTTGGTGTTCGTTTACGCAATTTATTTTATGACAAAAAAATTAAATTTTATACAAAATATAAATAATTACTTGTTCATTAACAATTATATTTTACATGAAGATTTGCACCTCATACGATTACGAGCATATAGTAAAACCTGTATTAGGTAATTAAAGGTGTCAGGTTTTAAGTAATTTGAACGGATTCAAAATGCTGTCACTTAAAGAATTTTTCATTTCGCGATGCACTAAAATTATAATTGTTATAAACATAATTATAAAGTATTTATATAAAATAAAATATACTTTTTATAGAATTAATAATTAAATCAGGTAATAATAAAATTGATTTAATTTTGAGCTTTTTGTGCTTATCAAAAACTGTTTTTAATCGATACGGAACTGCCATGTATATTTCAAGTAAGTTTTTAAGTGCTGGATAATTTTGAATTAATTAATTCGAACTAATTTTATTCTAAAATAATCTATAAATAAATTTTACTACTCTTAAAGCATACCGAACAAACGCGTTGTCCCGTTGTCCATGAAATATATGAATAATATCAATAAATTTTGAAAATTATCAAGCACAATTTGAAGTTATTGTAAATTTGCGATCAGTTGCAAATTTACAATAACAATTGACCTGCTTGATCACTTTCAAAATTTGTCGATATGATTACGATATAAAAATGTTTTTTTTAGTGCTATTATTTTATATTTTATTCTATTATATTAACAAATTAAGTAAATTCTTTCATTTTGCGCCTAGATATATTTTAGAAAAACAATATTTGTCATAAAAAACATCCATGTTGTTTATCAATTTTCTGTCATGATCAATTAATTATATCAATAACAAACACGTTATCAAAACTATCCAACAAGAACTAGTTTATTGCCATATCGATTAAAATGAATGTTGAATTAATTAAAGGCATAAAATTATCTAAGCATATTTAGCTAAAGGATTTGTGTATTGAGAAATAAATCAACTATTTTTTATTTTACGTTTTAAATAGACAAATGAAAAAATCTTAGAGCGTTAATAACTTTTATTTTCTTTATGCTTGTGTCAATACTATAAATGTTTTTTTATTCAGAATTTAAACAAAATTTCAAACATTAAATTCTGCATAACCAAATGGTATAACTCTTAGAGAGCCAACATCTTTCATCTTCTATGTGTTTGGGATAAATCACAATATCGACATATTCTTTATTTGGAATTCAAACGAAGTTTCAGAAGATGAAGGCAAGATTTAAAAAAAAACTTCAAATTACACCAAGCGTATAGTTTTTTAATACCCGAATCACCAAATGATATAAATCTTAGAGACCCCATATCTTTTAAGTTGTAAATGTTGGGATAAAAAGCAACATCTATATATTTTTTATTTGAAATTCAAACAAAGTTTTAGAAGATGAAGACAAGAATTAAAATCTACATCAAAGGTAAAGTTTATTTCAAAAATATTAATGATAAAAGACTTAGAGAGTCTATATGTTTCATCTTCTATGTGTGTTTTTTTAGAATATCAAGTTTTTGTAAATTCAACAATAAAAATACAGGATGTGGCAGAAATAGCTCAGTCAGTAGCATAACCGACTCATACTATAGATACCCGGTTCGAGTCCATGTGCTGACATAGAATTGTCATTTAATTTGAGTTAGCATAAAATCAGAAGTAAAAGGAAAATTAGAAGTTGCACTGCAGAAGTTAAGATTTTGAAGAAAAAAAAGAAGAGGTCAGTTGAGAATAAGCAAGTACAGAATATGTATAAATAAAAATAGTATAATATATAAAAAAATGAAATGTTAATTGTAGGTGGTTAATTGCTCTAAGTAAGCAAATCCAATAAACAAACAGGATATATACAGGTATGTAAATAGTAAAAATAATATATTGCCAGATACAGAGTGAAAATTAATACAATTTTAATTTAAGAATTTATATACACAATAGCCAGTAAAATATAATTGTTTAATGTTTAAATAAAGCAAATACTTGACTCTTAAATCAAGAAAATTGTTACGCAACGTCTTGAGAAAATAATGCTAATAAAAACAAATAGGCGACAATGTATTATAAACTCAAACATTGCTATGCTATCGAAATAAAAGCAATTGCAAACAAAACTAAAACGATTTAAAATTAAAACAATTTCAACTAATTACTAGCAGAGCAGAATGTAAATAAAAACTTACTCATCCACCGTGTAGTTATTGTTCTCACAGAAACTCATGTTTACTAACAAGTTGCCGGAACGTCCGAATCAAATGAACTGATAACCAAAACTACGTCAGCGAAGCGGTTATTCTTTCTCTCGCGGATAATCACAAAATATCTTATATGATTCGATCGTTATATCTTTTAATAATTAATTTGATACTAACACGTGTACACAGATATGTGTTCGAACCAGTTCGCGAACCGATTATATGGATTTTCTATCGACGTTTGTCGTGTCCGTCACGGTGACAGCGGTTTATAAAGATCCTGCGAGGGCTTGTCCTCTTATCGCAAGCCGAATGGTCTTCTAACGAGTCTACGTCAGAGAATGATGCAGGGATGAAATCGAAGAAATAAAAATTTAAATTTGAAATTAAATTTTGAGACAAGAATTTACATGAAGCAAATTTATGCAAGCGAGCATTATGGATTTAGCTGCCATTTAAATTTTTATCAAGGTAACTATTAATTTTTCATATATAATATGCCGGCAAAATAATAAAAGAAAAATATATTGAACTTGATATTACAAGTTATATTAGTTGCGAATAATAAGATGAAAAATAAATATATTTAGATATAATTTCTGAAGAGATATTAAAAATATCTTATTATTGAAGATTTTCTTCTGTTGTGCAAAACAATTAGTTTCTAATAGAATTTAAAGAGTATAGTTATTTTGCGATTAAATAGCATTTGATTTGATGAGTAGAATTTGAGAAGTAAGTACAAAAGCAAGATTTGAATTCGAAAAAATAAGGCGTAAATGAAATAAAAATGAAAAAAATGAATTGTGAAGAGCAAAAAATGGATAGTGCGGAATATAAATAAAAGACAGTATGGAATATATATTCAAGATAGAGCAGAATATATAAAGATAATATGTATTATATATGGAAATAATATAGAATATAAAAATGAAATATTGCAGGTGGCAAAATGATCTTGGTAAGCAAAGCCATTACAAATAATATCAAAAAATAGTTTCTAATAATATTTATAATTTTTTTGAAATTATTAATTATATTTGATTCTGTTCATATTTCTTCTAAGTTTAGCTCATTGATCATTAATTACTGAACTTCTATTTTATATTGACATTAAATATCTGTTTTTACTATAATTTTGGATATTAATGTGGAATCTTATATACTTATTTATCTAGTTTAAATCCAAAAAATGATATCTTATTTTACTTAAATCTAAAATTGAAGTTTATCTTATATTCATTCATATAATCTATTTGGATTCTGTAATTATACTACTGATATTATTTAATTTAAATACCATTTTTGCATTTATCGGGAAAATTATGCTTGGCTTATTTGTTAGCCTATTTATTATATATATCCATATATATATATATATATATATATATATATATATATATATATATATAATTTAAAAAATGAATTTGAAAGTTTAGTATCGTATCATTATTTTTTAAATAAAACTATAACATTTTATTTATCAGATAAAATATATTTTTTCCGATTTAAGAGACTATAACATATCTCTGATTTGCTGTATATTGTAATTTTATAAATAAGATGTTATTTTTATTTTTTGCTTTATTTTTGATATCATCTTATTTATCTATATATTTTTTCATAAATGAAAATCATATTTCTTTTTTTCTTTTTTTTTCTTTGATATGCACTTACAGTAGAAATTTTAAATTTAGCTTATATAAATTAAAAGGTAATTTCTGATTGCTAAATGAATAATTTTATTAAATTATATGTAATATTTTATATTCTCAATTTTAATTGATCGTTTTTCAAACAGTCAATAATTATATAATTAATATGTGTTATCGCAAATGAACATTGGGGTATATTTATAATCTCATAATTCAATACTGAAATCTATCATCTGATATCAAAATTGTGTAATTAATATCAGAATAAATAAAAAAGTATAAACACACACACACACACACACATATATATATATATATATATCAGTTATCATACAATTTGTTTGCAAACAGTAATTAAAGAATTCTGAATAAATAAACCAAATTATTTTTTTTATCCCAAAACACACGTTGATATACAAATAAATAATTATTATATATAATAATTGTGGTTAATAACATGGTAATTTATATAAAACTTTATATAAACTGTATTAGGTAAAAGTGCTCTTATATGAATCAATGCACCTAATTTCTAAGGGTGATAATTATTATATATCTAATTGCATTTATTTTTAATATTTAATATTTATAATTAATTATTATATAAATAAATTTATATATTTAATTATATTCATATCTAAACTAGTTCGTCCACATAATCGAGAATAGTATTATCTTCTAATACATCATCAATAGTTTTGAGATAAAACTTATAAACATATAAACCGCGTGAATATTAATCTTCTTAAAAAAACAAAACTTGTTTGTGAGTGTTTGACGTAAAAAACGACTCGCAAAGGGCTTACAAAAATATTCGAATAAATAATTAAGAGAATAAAATTAAATTATAATTTTGTGCAGTTTGAGATATTTAAAAAAATTACAACAAATATTTCATAATGTTTTTATTAAATTCATTTTGCTTATAATTTTTATATTTATGATACTAATGCTGAAATATCATAACAAAAATACTTTCACTGCGTTTATTTTTAGATTTTTGCTTAAACACAATTTATTTCAATTCAATGAATTTGCATACTAAGCTAAAATATATTTACAAAAACACTTATAGGTTGCAAAATTGTTCTAATTTCTAATTGCGTACTTACAATTGTTTATAGTTTTCAGGCATAGATATGATACAATTTATCACATATCTTGATAAGGAACCCATCAATAAATCATTTATATGTTCAAACCAACACTGGTTACAATTTAATTGAGATTGACAAGTACTTTTCAGATACTATTATTAGTTACGTATGTTTATATATTCCTTTTAGAATGTCTTCCCATTGAAACGAGTTTTTATTCCAGAGCCATCCTAACATGTAAAAATAAATGATTACAATATTAATTATTCATGAAGTAAAAGTTTTGAGATATTAAAGGAATGGAATGAAAAAAATATAACTGATGCCACATGGAGTAGGAAGGTAATAATTTTGTTGAAAATCTAAATTATAATTTAAGATACTGATATGTGTGTAAATACATAATCATTTTATACCTATATCTACATTATAATATAAATACCATATCATTATCTTGGCAAAGAAAACTTTTAATTATCTTCGCAAATATTGAAATTGTTTAAATGAGCAAACATAAACAAATACTTCTATAATAAATTGTTTGATTTATATTTATCGTTAGGTGATATATATTAATAATTTGTTAATAATAACATGTTGTATATTCAACAATGGCGCGATAAAGAAAGAACAAAAATGTAAATAAAAGTTATGAGTTTTAAATCAAATATGAAGGGTATTTTTATTTATTAAATGTGAATATATATAATAATAATAGAAAGAGTAATATTCTTAAGATTTGATAAATAATTATTACAGTAATAATAATTATAATATTTATATCTCATTATATAAAAAATGGATCAAGCTCATAGTAGCCTCTTGATGATTAAATTTTGATTGTTTAATTTTTAATTCCCAGAAGTTCTTGGGTACAATGCAAAAATGTGTTGGATGTGAATTTAACAGGTAGTATTTTCCATTGATACTCTTGTATTGTATATGGAATACTTTTAACGAAATATTTTGTATATATTGCATAAGACTTTCAATATTTTTTTTTGATTTTGGTGACCTAGGGCTGCTTCTTGGAAAAGAAACTCAGTTCTTCTGGTAAAATTTAACACAACATATCCTGCTGGGATTGAAAAGATTGTGTATAGTTCTTATATCTCATAAAAAACATTTAGAAGATTCAAGTGATATTTTTATACAAAGCTTTTGCAAAAATGAGTCAGTTAAAAAATCAAGGTATGTAAATTAGTTTCAGTTTTATTAATTTATTACAATAGATGTGCAATGTTGAAAGTTCAGATCCTGAAACTAATATAGGAAACTAATATTATATATATTATATGAAAATATAAGCTATTTTAACTTTTATCTATAAGTTAATTTCCATTATAGTTTATATGTAGCTAGTTTGCATGATGTATTTCGAAATATATTTGTTTTATATGTACAATTAATAATTTGCGTGCTAGCTATGATATATAGTCTTATGGTAATATGATTATTCTAAGAATCTGAATACTATCAACTAATCAGCGTAATTAGACGTGCTGATAGCAATCTTGAATCTATAATTAATTTCATTAATAAAATTCATAAATAAATAGTAAAAACTTATTTACTTTACTGCGTATAAATGATATAATTAATTATTATTTCAAGCTTCATATATATATTAGAAGTCTGGCAAAAAGTATTTGATCGAAATGATTCACAACTTTACTGATTCGTGAAAGTTTACCGAATTATGTACAGATGGTAGTTGTATTTTTGGCTCAAAATACGTATATTATTTGTTAATTTAAGAAAATTAAAATCACATCATATGGTTTGTTACCTTCAAAATTATTTTAAGGGATGCAAAAATCGTATATATACGGGTTTCTAAAAATGGTTTAAACAATAGAAATTATATATTTTTTCATGATGATTAATACTTCTCTTTCGGCTTACGATCAGATATGATTAAAAACATCTTTTAAAATCTGTTTTGACAATAATTTAGTACACTTTTTTTCAAAATTTTCTAATATATTAAATATAAAAAACTATAAACTAATTTATAATAAATTCATTAAATTATTATTATTTTCATTTAGGATTTATAGTAAAATATTTTAAATATTTGAAATTATTCACAAACAATGTTTTTCCTATTATAAACATTACAGTTTAGGTTAAAATATAATTAATAGCATATACAAAATTACACTTTGTTCAATTCAGTTGAAATTATAGAATATAGTTTCTTTTATTTTGAAAATTTCCTATTCTGTAAATTGTGGAAAACGAATATATTTTTTGCATAAATTCTAATAAACTAGTAATAAATCAGGATTTAAAATTTAGTCAAATTATGATATATCTGTTTATATTTCATACTTACGCATAAGTACTTCACTTAAATATTCTTTGGCAAATTATATATGAATAGATAGATATTTAAGCTATGAACATATTTTCTAATAGAATTAAATAAAAATAATGATAAATATTTATTTACTAATTTATTATGCATGATTTCATATTTAGTCACATTGTAGATCATTTATTGTTTTTTTATAATTCTAATTGAGGTAATATTTACAGGGTTTATTCCCTCTACAGTTAGAAGGCTGCTACAGAAATATTATGAACTTAGTTGAAATACTTTTCTAGCTATTCAACTTAAAGTAAAATAAGTTGGTAACTTTGGAAGGCTATAAGCGAAAATCTCGCAAACGGTAATAGATCGGTCAAAAATTTTACCGATTTACTTTTCTAGGTTTTTCGATTGTTTTAATTTAAGTCAAAGACTACGACATCCTATCTCAATTCCTTCAAAAGTTACATGAGTTCAAATGTAGCCGGTGCCATAGGTCGGTTAATGAATCTAATTTGGAGGTTCGGTTGACCGATTATCGCCTGGATGATCCATCGTTTATTGAGTACAGGTAATATATAGTTGTAGTATTTTCATAGTTACTAATTGATAAAAATATGAATTTTCTTAATTATTTAATTAAATTTTATGAGTAAATTCAGATACTATAAGTATATTATAATTCCAAGTTCATCAAGAAGAGCACCTGAGCGCCGGCGTCGACCCGATGGGTGTCAAAGGTTATCATTCAGTACTTTCATTGGCTGCGATTTTCGACCTTTGACCCGCCCCGAGATGGAATTGATGCAAAAGATACATTTTCATCTGACATCTGCGCACTGAAAATCTACAAAATTACCACTATGGAAAATTCAACGAAAAATTATGCGGAAAACTAAAACATACAAGCTTACCAGGCTACACAATGAAATGGTAATGAGAAAAAAAAACAATAAAAAATGATGTCCTCGGTGTATTTTTTTTTTCAATTTTGAATGTCAATTTGACATATCAGAAACATTTTAGTATACCATACTAAAATGTTCTGACTTATCATAAATTTTATAAAAAAATAGAAAAATACAAAAAAATACAAAAAAATATGATAAATTATAAAATTTAATTTAACAAGTACAAGTTAAGCAATTTTTCCAACATGAAAGTTCTAAATTTAATGTGCATAAGCAAACAACTCATTATTTCGTAAGTATATCTTAAAAAATCATATTTAATGCTATTTGTAATTATACTTTCCATTTCTTATTTATACTCATGTAATTTTTCTTCCAGAACCTCCATGTCAACCCATTGTAAATGCAATACAAAGAAGCCCCAAAGAGATTTAAGATCAGTTTTGAAAGTACCAGTTATTTGGGTTCTAGGTGGTCCTGGATCTGGAAAAGGAACTCAGTGTGAAAAAATTATAGAGAAGTACGGATTCACCCATTTGTCGTCCGGTGATCTTCTGCGGGATGAAGTTGAAAGTAAGACCGATAGAGGGAAGAGCTTGCAGGTACGATAGAAATAGTTATTAATATTTATTAATTGAATAATTGATCCAGTTTAATGTACTTGTTCATTCGATACAAATCATAAAGCACTTGCGGAAATAACTCAGTCGTTATCATGTCTAACTCACACGTCAGCGTCCTTGAAGATGTCTTAAGTTAAAATTATAAAAATTTGAACGGTTGATTTAAAATTGCATAGAAATGAAAGTAAGAAGTAGAATTTAAAATAGGTAATTTGAAATTAAATAGAATTTGTATTTAAAAAAATGGAAACTAGTTGGTATTAGTATTTAGCCTTGAGGCAAGTTACATGAACTTCCCGATATGTGTAAATAATCGACTTAATCAATAAAAAATAAATTAATTTATGAGTGGATTTATTACACATAATTGAAAACGAACGAACACGTTAACTCGGAGTATTTTCAAAAAGCAACTTTTCAAAAATCAACAATTATTATATTTGAACCAGTTTCCGTAGGATTTTAATGGTTTAGTATGTTTATTAAGACCAAGTACTATGTTATACCAAGTAAATCGTCTAATTTTAATTTTAGCTAACGTCAAAAAAACTACTCATTTTCTCAAACTTTGATGAATTTTTAAAATTAAACTACTTGTAATATTACAGTAAGTTCTATAAGACCATGATATATATCGCTAAAAAAATCCATAAAAATCGGATTAAGTTTTTTTTTCAACAATTAATTACAAGAAAACGGCTCAGTAGATTTTCACCTAAAACTAATCAGTATCATTCCCAACTAATATCTTTCAAACAGTTTTTGATTTTTTAAAATAGGTTCGGTAGGATGAGCTTAAATGTGGACGAAAAGTTTAACTTTTTTTCAAATTACAAAGATACGGCTTGGCAGATCGTCGCACAAGGCTTTTAAATTTCTGAAATCGGTTCAGGCGTTTTTGAGAAAAAGTCGATGAAAGGTCTAATTTTGACAAATGCCAAAAAAACGATACCAGTTTTTGCAAACTTTGACGAATTTTCAAAGTTAAACCAATTGTTGTAGGGCCGTAATATTTTAGTATGATCTAGAAGACTATAGTATTTACCGTCAAAAAAATAATAATAAAAATCATCGAAAAAAATTTTTTTAACACTTTATTCATTCGATTCAGAATGGCTTGAAACGTTGAGAAAACATAAAATTATCGAATCGGATTTTTTGATGAAAACATAAACTCCTTCGGGAAGTTAATAAGAAGAAAAGCAAGGTTAGGGTTGGAAATCAGATTTATTGACTGTGACTATTGACTATGATTTATTGTAGAATCCAGTAGCAATCCGCAAACGTATCTGCATACACGATTTTAATAATCATGCAAAAGAATTACTCGATCGGAAGTTTATGATTATTTTTGTTTTTGTCCCATTTTTGCAGTTTTACCCCAATTTTAACTTTATATTCGTGTTCAGCTTTATAAAGTAGATGGACAAATATAAGTCGCACATCCAATACAGTCAACAATTGAAAAAGTTTGAATTTAAAATGACTTTCTATTAGTAGATTACTTTTCTATTTCTATTTCCTATTCTTCATGTGTCTTTTTCCCCAGGCTACAATGGCTAAAGGTGAGCTAGTGCAAATGAATATAGTTCTCGATTTGATCCGAGAGGCGATGATAAAAGCAGCGCCAAAGTCCACTGGTTTCCTCATCGACGGCTACCCGCGCGAAAAGGATCAGGGCTTGGCCTTTGAATCTCAGATAACTCCGGTCAATTTAATATTGTTTTTTGAATGCGAAGAAGATACACTTCTCGAGAGATTGATGCATAGGGCTTTATCCAGTGAGAGAGTTGATGATAATGAGGAAACTATAAAGAAACGAATACAAACTTTTAATGAAAACAATGAACAGGTAAAAAGACAACTATAATAGACAGGGACAAAACCAAAAAAATATAGACCATATGAATGAAACATATTCAAAATAAAATCTGTATTGTCAGACTCTATACACGTTAAGTAGTTTGGGTAAGTATTAAAAGCAATAATGAAGTAAAAAGGGATAATGGAGAAAACCATAGTAAATGTCGTTCTATATATTCTGTAGACTCAGTTTTCACGTAACTAACATCTAGATTTATAATAGTGGGAATAATAAATTCAAAATATTCATACGTGGCACGGTTATTAATTAGAACTCAAAGTTGCACTACGTTTGAAATTAAATTTTTTAATTGAAAGTTCGCTGGTTTGAAATAAAACTAGGTTTTGCTTATGTATGTCTTATATATAATATTATACATTTTACTATTTCAAAGTTACTTATGAATAATCTGTGTCTAACAGTTTTTATCATTTCGATATTTCAAGGTATTAGCACTATATCCCGAAAAACTAAGGCGCATAAATGCTGATCGATCCGTAGACGAAATATTTGCTGAAGTCGAATCCTATTTGGATAATCTCATCGCCAATTTTCAAGTCAAGAGTTTCAAGAAATAAAACTATTTTATATTTATTCATTTTATAAATTTTTTTTTAAGAAAAACTATATTTTAAATAAATTATTAATATTTAAATTATTTTTTGTATAAAAAATAATATAATATTTCGATGGTTGTTGAAGCAATTGTGAAGTTGAGAATATATTGGTAGATCAACAATGGCGAACCAATATTGACATACCAATATTGGCGGACCAATATTAGCAAACTGATATAAGCAAATTGTGTGATTTTTAAATAAAAGCTTAAAAACTTCAACTGGTAGTGTACAAGAAAAATTTATTAATACGTTTTCTTTTAGCACTAAGTCCCAAGCTAAGAAATGCTCGGCATATGTATTTATTAATGATTCAAAACTCATCATGAAACCGCGAACGGGCGTCCCACTAATGGACTCATCTGCGTGTTCATCAATTATTCAGAGCGGTTGAAAGCATTTTAAACCTTTTGCCTGTGTTACTGTGTCTCGCTGAAAAGCGACGCTCTCGGTTAATGAAAATAAGCTGAAAGCTTGCCTCGATTTAAGTCCACCCACTCCATCAGAGCGATTATATGCGTCAATAATAATGCTAATATTTCAATGATTATTTGCAGAATTTTTCAAATACATTTTACTAATATGTTGCATGCAAAACTAGATTCTTAATTATATTTCCCTCCTCAAGTTATGGATAAAATTCTTTTAGATGTAGATGAAATACAGTGAGTCCAGTCAAATCTATCTATCCGATGGCAAAAAATTTTTAAGCTGTCTTTTACGGTTTCCGAGATATTTGCACGTTTGTCACCATGTCATTGCGACGGTTAGTATACATCTAGTAAAATGTTTGAACCACATTCGTTATATTTTCACAGCACCAATCTGACTCCATGGTGAATGTACTGAATAATTTTCAGCACTTCGAATTTTTCAAATCTAGAAAATATAACGTGATATTCCAAACATTTATCTAGCAGTAAAAGAGTTTTTAAGGGGGTATTCTAGTGTATAAATTCAAAAAAATCGATTTTTTTTTATTTCATATTTTCAAAATTTAACTATCTAAGAATATGGGTACAAGAAGGTTTTTGAAAATTTGAATTATTTTCGGAGATATAGGCCTTTTACTGACTCGGTTTGGCTTCACGCAATACTTTAAATGCGTTTTTCTCAGAACAGACTTTTTCAGTACTGTTGACACGATTTCTCGAGTTCTACTAGACCGATTCACTTGAAATGTTCAGAGAGTCTTGTTTATAGATCTATCTATAGCCCGAACTAGGATTATCCCCAAATACCAATTTTTTCTATTTTTAAAAATTTCGAGAAACTCAAAACAACAGTAAAAAAACACTTTTTTTTCAAACAGTCGCCAATTTGTAAAAAAAAAAAATTTTTTACTCATCGCTAGTTCGGGCGATTTCAACATCATTGTAGATTGATAATCTTCTTATTTTTTTGCATTTCCGATGGCTAGGAGGGCTGAAATCATGTCTTGACTGAGGTGCCAATTTTTTGAGACCTTCCACTTGATCAGCTGCCAGTTTTTATAATTTTCAACTTTTTTATTGTTTAATTTTTGTTTTGTATTTTAATAATATTAATAAACAAGTAGTAAAAAATGGATAGTAAAAACATTCATTGCTTTCTTTTACGATATTTTAAAAATGACCTAAAATTCATCGCTCTCCACTAGAATACCCCCTTAAGCTATCTTTTACTGTTCTCGACATATTCGCTTGAACAGTAATATATTTTTTTTTATTTAAAAAAAAAAGTATAACACACCATTTTTCTAAAATTTTTAATATATTTAGCTGAAGCAGAAATTTTAGACAACTATTTCAAAAACTATAATTACAAAAATAATAATGGAATGCAGCAATTAAACCTGTATTATATTTGAAGCATTTTTTAAAGTATATTGTAGTAAAATTGTATCAAATCGACACAAAAGATTTATTTTATCAATCAATCTAAATATATCTAATTTGTATGACATTTGTATTATGATTGAGCATATGTATATGCAGCAGCAACAAAAATAACTAAACCATATGCACATTTAATTTTATGTTAAGCGACAAATTCATTAATATAAATGATTATCAATAATAAACTTATAACAAACAAATTTTTATTCAAATCATTCAGAAATTCGCTGAAGTGAAACAGTCAGCGAACTTGAACGCTGAACACCTAATAATTCAAAATATCCTTAATATAACTGAAAATCGTGACTATTGTTCCTTAAAAAATCATGGTGCCACCTGCCTGACATTTTGAACTTGAAATACTTGCCCCTCTGTCGATTGATTGGGGAAAATCAAATCCAAATCCTATTTTAGTTATGCATGTTTATGTAGTCAACTGTAGGTGAAATTATTTGGTTGTGCGCAGTGTGCTAACATTATTTTTACAAAGTTACACAGGCCCACAGAGAATTAAAAAATTGGTGAGTGTTACATAATTGGTGAATCGTTTTGCATTTTTCTATATTTTAGGTTGAATTTATAATAATCAGAGCATGAGAAATAAGTCAAACTGCAAAATGGGAATGTTTCGTGATGCGTGATTCCTGATCAGTGACTTGTCTCCCCTTGTACACCACAAGTGATGTTTTGATTTCATTTTGATCGAAAAAGGGGTAAAACCGTATTACTGAACCGTGTCATTACGGTGTCCGACGACGGTTAGGGAACGATATAATATTTCAGGCACTCATAACCGTAAATGTATGATTTATGTATAATAATATACTCCTGATATGATTTATTATAATCGTATATAAATTGTGTGGAAATCGTGATTTTATTACATAAATAACAGTTGTACAAAAAATTAAATATAATAAAAAAACAAGGTTATTGCTTTTATATAAGATAATTGAAAATAATAAAACTGCAATGAACCATATATTACTCGTAAAAATTACTCAAATACCAAATTTATTTAATGTAAAAAATAAACACGTTCAGCGTTATGAAATAAATAATTTTAGTCATACCTTTAACTATATCAATTAAAAAGTAACTCAGTGGTTGTCTTATTTTTTAATCAGACAACCTGACAGTTTCTCATTAATACCAGTGATATTCCAATTTTTCGTAGAAACTCCCAAATGGGCATTTGAAATCATACTTATTGTCTATAATTTCTTCCATCAGTTACTGCAATTTTTTTTTAGAAACATCAATCAGAACCTTGTCCTACGAGCTGTTGGGCTGAAACTTCTCTTTACTTCGTATTTTTAGATGGTAACCCAATGGTTAATCCATCCATATTTGATGATTTTTGTTATTAGAATTAATCTAATAGGGCTGACTTTTTATTGGTGCAGCAATGTCAGGCAAGGGCTACTTTCACTTGGAAACATATTGCTATCTATATTTCCAAGTAAAATTCGTTTGTCACTGTTGGCTGACAACAGGCTGCTCGAAGTGGGTATCGAACCCGGGACCTCTGAAACAAGTCCCGTCGCTCTTAACCGCTTACCTACGGGCGAGCCCAGTTACTGCTAAATGTTTCACTTTTAATTCTGATAGTGTTGCCATCCATCCAACCCAGACCAAATTTTGTAAATTCTTTTTTGTTAGCCCTAATATTTCGTAATTATTACCACATCACTCTAATATGCATTATCCATATAATTTTGTCATAAAACAACCCTAATTGTACTCATCTAATACTTCTTCATTACTAAAATACTTTTTTCCCGAGTGCGTGCAATGTTGAGAGAGCAGGTGTACCTTAATAATAAATTCATGTAATTACGAGTGGAAGCTATAAGGGACATCGTTGTGATTCAATCAAATATTGCGTTATCAATTATGCATCGAGATGTTGATATTTGGTTGACCGTACCATGTAATCATTTCATGTTCAACAATGAAAAAATGACTTTGGCCGAAATTGGCGGTTTGGACTGACCATGTCATTTTCGATGAACACAGCTTTTGAAATTTTCGTGTGAATTTTAAATAGGAATTTTTTAACTTCAATATTTATTAACTTCCCGAAGAAGTTTATGTTTTCATCAAAAAATCCGATTCGCTAATTTTATTTTTTCTCGACGTTTCAAGCCATTCTGAATCGAATGAGACCAAATTTGGAAAAACTATGTGTGTGTGTGTGTGTATATGTGAATAGATTTTTTGCCGTAAATCGACGTTTTCTCGAAAACGGCTGGGCCGATTTCAAAAATTAAAAAGCCATTCGATGTATCTTGATGAGGACTATCGGTTGTCAGTTTTGTGGAACGATCGGCCGAGATGTTTCATTATAAATAGCAGAAAAGGAAAAATTTTTTGTCCACGTTTTAGCCCGCAATTCTGAACCGATTATGAAAATTCAAAAATCGTCAAGTTTTTGGTAAAGATCGGCCGGGCCGTTTTCTTGTGATAAAGTGTTAAAAATTTTTTTTTCGAAGATTTTTATTATTATTTTTTTGACGGTATATACTATAGTCTTCTACATCATACTAAAATACTACGGCCCTACGACATTTGGTTTAACTTTGAAAATTCGTCACAGTTTGCAAAAATTGGTATCGTTTTTTTGGCATTTGTCAAAATTAGACCTTTCATCGACGTTTTATTAAAAACGCCTAAACCGATTTCAGAAATTTAAAAGCCATTTGACGTATTTCGATGAGGACTATCGTTTATCAGTTTTGTACGACGATCTGCCAAGCCGTTTCCTTGAAATTTGAAAAAAAAGTGTTAAACTTTTCGTCCACATTTAAGCTCATCCTACCGAACCGATTTTAAAAAATCAAAAACTGTTATAAAAAAGATATTAGTTGGGAATGATACTGATTAGTTTTAGGTGAAAATCTACCGAGCCGTTTTCTTGTAATTAACTGTTGAAAAAAAAAAATTAAGCCGATTTTTATGAAACTTTTTTTAGCGATGCATATCATGGTCTTATAGAACTTACTATAATTTTACGGCCTTACGACAAGTAGTTTAATTTTAATGAGTAGTTTTTTTGACGTAAACCATTAAAATCCTACGGAA